GATGAAAAAATTCCCTGAGGGCAGGGACCTTGTCTATTTATCCCTAGCATTATGTCTGGCTTACAAGTACTTGCTGAAAGAACATGTGAGTGATTGTCTTTGAGAATATTTAGCATTTGCCAAATTCCCTGGAAAGATATATAAAACATGTTTGGAAGGTACATGCAAAAAAAAAAAAGAGTTATCATCCATTTGTTAATCATCCTTCTCATTTGTCCAGTATTTCACATGCCTTTTACAATTTTGAATAGCATGATCCATGTCATTTTTATAGCTCTAGAGTGCCAGGCGCTACCTCAGTCCTCAACTGAGCCTTAGGAGGCAAGTGACCTGTTCAAGGTCACACAACTAACAAGTGACAGACCCCCAGGGGTTTGACTCCAGCGCCTGCATGTTAGCCACCCCCCACGCCTGTGCATCTCCTGCCCACTGGCAGGAAGGATCTTTTTCTCATTTTGAGTTCTGCCTGACTTGTAGCCCTGCTTTCTCAGGCAAGCCTCCCTCAGGCTAAACCTAGGTCTACCCTAAGCAAGAGGGATTATCTGATGAGCTGGACACGACACACAGACAATATTTCTGATGAAATATTTCATAAATGAAATATTTCTTTCATTTATGGTTTTTTCTCCACAGTTACCTCTGTGGTCACTCTGACCTTTTCTTTGTGGGCTGACTACCCACCCACCTTGTTCAACAGAAACTCTCAGAGGTCCCTCCTATAGCTAGGGCCCTAGAAGGTCAGTGCCTCCAGCCTCCTCTCTCAGATGGCTGGCATTCTCGCCGGTAAACTATTTCTTTTATAATATCATTGAGATCTAAAACAAAATGAAGTCTGAACCTAGGGTATGTCTCGTCGCCATGGAAACAACTTCAAGCCTGAGTGCCTCCGGGAGATGTGGGTGCTCTTCCTCCAATTGCCGTGGAAATAAGGGACTGGGAACTGGACAAAGCTAAAACAAGGTTCTGTTGGATTTGTGGCACTTTTGGTAATAAACATGGTGTGTTCACCATAAGTTTATGTCATCAGCAGCAGCATTATCAATATATAGTCTCAATTTTCAACAGTGTTCTGGTTTGTACAGAACCTACCAGCCAAACGAATGATGGCTCAGATCATTTTGTCTACTTTTATGAAGGGACATTTTAAACCCTATTAAGGTGGCTCAAACCATGTGGTAGGAAAAAACCAAACAGTAATAAATTTCAAGAACATTCTGTAAAGCATTTTTGCTTCTGGGAATGGGAAACCAAAATTTTCCCGAGAGACTCGATTATTAAAGCCATAAATAAAACATCCCTGCTTTGACTGCCTGGTTGCTTTGCTTGGTTGTCCTTGCTCTGGTGAAGTGGCTCAGAATTTGAGGCAGGCAGTCCAGGGGAGGCTGGGGAGGTGAGCATGTCTGAGAGCATTCTGCCTCCTCCTCCCCAGCATGTTGCCTGCACACCAGGCCACAGTGCAAGGAGAATGAGCAAATTTTGCTTGATTGAAGATCACCAAATATGGTACCATAAAATTCAAGGACGAATCTTGTAGGTGATGCCTTCCCTTCCTGTCATAAACCTACACACTCCCCTGTAGAAGTAAAAGCAAGTAGCGTGGTGCAGGGACCACTAGCCGTATTGCCTGGATGGTCTGGGTTCAAGTCCTAATCCTACTACTTACCGGGCCCAGTAAACAAGGTTACTTAACCTCTCTGAATGTCAGTTTCCCTTGTAGAGCTGGGGTAAGAGGGAAGAATGTTGGATCCTAAATATCCTGTGTTAGCAGTGCCCATCACAATGCGTTCCAACCACTCAGCAAAAAGAAAGACAAGTGACACTTGCTAAGACCTATACAATAACTAAAGTGGTTGCTGGTATCCTCAATGTACAAATGGTAGAAACCAGTCCTGATAAATGCAATGACTTTCTCAAAGTGATGTAAAAGCATGCAGTCAGGCTTCAAATACCCATCTGTCCAAGTCCAAAGCCAACGTTCTTTCCACTTGACACTGCTAATTTCTGAGCTCATGAGCTTGGGATAAACCGTTAACATTATTTTAATTTGAAATAAATATAGTTCTGTCATAGTTTTCAAATAATTTGCTAATGCCTTGAAAACTTCAGCTTCTGTAGCTATTTTGTCTCTCATTAAAATGATACCGTATCACCAAGGAATAAGAAGTATCTTCATGAAACATGAACTTTCAATCCTTGGCTTGTTTCAAGCTGGCCTGGAGAGTTACCCCCAGTGGCCCCATAGAGCTGTCGTCGGGTGTTAGGATACCTCAGTCACTTCCATGGGTGCAAGTTTTTGGATTCTTATCTTTTTAAACCATTCTGAACAACCAAAAGATACATATTTTTTTACTTTTAAAAGAAATATAAAATCATAAAGTCGCAATCAGCAGGCCTGAAATCCTGTAAAATAAAGGAATAATACAACTCAATTCCTCCTCAGTTGTAAGTTTTGCACTACTAATGCTTGAACAGCCAGGATTTCCCTCTTTTGAAGAAAAGAATAACACATGAGAGAATAAAATAGCCACAACATTTTGGGTGTGTGCTTAGACCTGCCAGAAAGGTTCCTGTCTGGTAGATATTGCTGGCAAGTGGGGGCCACAGATAGCTTGTGGGCTTCAGAATTAGACCAGAGTTCAAATCCCAGCTCTTCCATAGGCATATTATTTGTACCAAGCCCCAGTTTCCTCCTCTGTAAAATAGGGGAACTGTTGTGAAAATTAAACATACAATGTAAAGAGCAAATAGAATATTCTTCTTGGTCCCATTCTCAATTCAAAATAGACATGAGCCATCTATAATAATAATAATCATTTTCTTATGGACTCCTTGCTAGTGTCAGGCACTGGACTGAGCCTTTTCCGTCGATTTTCTTTCTAATGGAATCAGTATTTGAACACAGGTACTCTAGCTCCAGAGCCTGCCCTGTGCCTTGCTCTAGGACATGAAGTACTTGTTGAGTTCAGATTAACAGATTTATGAGCAATTGCTTCAGCCGACAGCAGGTGCCTGGGAGGGTCCACTTTGAGGGTCTTGGTTGATGCAGCTGGATATTTGGCCAAAAGCAGAGAGGGCCTCGCATAACCCTTCGTTCTCCCACTCTGCAAAATTGGTGCCACTGACTTTCTGCTCCCTCAGTTTAGTTTCCCTACTAGACTAGGCACATAATAGATGTCCTAAAAAATGCTTGTGGAATAAATGCAAATAATAAACTGATCGCTAATGGTGTAACCATCTACCTCATCTAGGAAGCATCTATCTTACGCTTAAATTCTCCGTTGTCCTCTTAGACATACTAACATGTTTAAACAGATTTTTTTTAAGCTGTTAATTCTCTGCCATCCCCATTAATTCAATGTCCATCAAGCATTTATTCAGCACCTACTATTAATGGAAGGGGCCAAGGATTACACATATAATCATCAGAGAGTATTAAAAAACAACAAAGCCCAGTTTATATTTAGCTATAGAACACACAATGCTTTTTAGGCAGCATTGACGTTTGTAGCCATTTTGTTTGTAAATTTTCTAATTTGTATTCCCGGAGCTCTTACTAATTAGGCAGCCAAGGTGGGCAGACGGGGAAAGTGTCATGTGAAGCCACACCAGAATTAACAAGGCTGGAGGAGAGAGGCTAAAGTTTGGAACAAGCATAGGGGAAGAACCCAGGGTTGAAAAGACAGACAGGCTCTGATTCCTAACCCTGTCACTAGTACTGAAATCTTGCAAAACCTCATCATCTACAGAATGGAGATAATCTATATCTGTCACGGTTTTCCCACAGGTTGGTGAGGACTCCTAGGATAACATGGGACAGCCATCATGGGGAACAAGAGCTTAGAAGAGTGAGGACCCAAGGGTTGCTGGCTTGAGACTCGCTGTTTCCTGCACATGTTTTTTCCTCTCATTCCTGTCTGCAAAAGGCAAACACGACTGAAATGATAACAGGCACATCCACTGAAGCAAAACAGGTCACAGGAAGAAGATAATACATTCAAGGACAAACAAAAGTCAACTGTAGCTGGGCCTAAAATGGGTAGGTGAAAATCCATGGGAAGGAGAGGTGTTTTCCTTTTTGGGCTTTTTTGGGGTTGGGGGGGGCATGGGGAGGTGATTGGCAGCTGGCTGGTATGGGGAGCCAAACCTGTGACCTTGGTGACACCAACACCACTCTGCCAAGTGAGCTAACTGGCTAGCCCTCAGGCTTTTAAAATATTACCAACATGAAAACACACACTTGTATAGTTTTCATATATTCTTTGCCATTTAGGCTGTCTATATAAGGTGGGAACCCCATAAGATATGGAGGCAAGCTTTTAAAAAGGCATTTTATAGTGTAAAATGATAATGCTGCCTACACAAAAATGTTTAGCCTATGTCAACTGAAGTCACCAAACACAACGCGGTACTAATGACTGGGTATACAAGATTGTGTGTGTACTTGAATAAGACTGGAGGAAGGGTACTTGGAAAACAAAGACAGCTCATTTATTCGGATGACAGAATTGCCCAGCCCAGTGTCTGGAATCAAACAGATGTTTAAGAAATATTTGTCAAATGAGTGAGAAAATTTGATATTCCATATATTATAAGTAAATATAGATCTCCCTTTGTTAGATGATACTTCCCCTTTTGACATAGTAATTTTGTTTTACTTTTTTTTCTTTTCTTAATGCAATCTTATCTCCACCAAGAAAACTGGTGTTATCAGAGGACCTTGCAGAGTCTAAGAATATGGGGCTAGTATACAGAACTGGATAAAGGTCACTCATGCATTTATGGTTTCTAAAACCAGAAGAAGCATTTGCAGATAAGCAGCAGACCTGCTTTTTATTCATTAATTGGCAAACTATCCTTAGGAAAAATAACCCCTTAGGGTCTCCGATGACAGATCTGTGGGGTCAGACAGATGACCTCCTGCAGGCCTTTAAGTACTTTAAATGCTAAATGTCAAGATAAAACATACTGGGTCAATGAAGACAGACAAGCTCTCCAAAGAGTTAATATTTGAAAACTTTATTTTTCTCAAATGAGCACCAACACAGATTGGAAATATGACAGAAACAATGTACTTTTCTCTAATACTGAATCACTATGTACAAATACAGGAAAAGGTGAAGACAGATTATTTGAAAACAATTACCTTTGTTATTGAAGCAAAGTGACCTGAAAAATGCCACAAAAGAAAACAAAAAAAACCAAAAACCCCCAAACCCAACAAATACATTTTGTAAACACAGCGTAAATAGACAGATTCTGTATTGAAAGATAGTCTCTGCAAGCTGGGAAAGGGAACTGACTCCCACTTTCACCAAAATGTTATACAAAAACATATGGGCAGATAGAATTTGGTAATATGAGAATAGTTTGTTTCTTCTTAGCTTTACCTTTTACTGCAAGTAGATTTCATGACTATTTCAATTTTTTAAAAAAATAAACATCTTTTTTCTCTAGCTAGAGGACTAGCATGTTTTCTCATGTGAGGCATATTCTTTAAAAATACGTAAATTGATTATGTTCAAGATTTAATTTCCCAGCCTCTTCCTGAACCTGAGGCAATCTGACCTTTAAAAAAAAAAAAAAAAAAAAACCTGGGCCGGCCTGGGGCCCC